AAAATTACCTAGAATGAACCTACATTTATTATCTAATCAGTTAAAAAGCTTTTTTTTTTTTTTAAAAAAGCTCTTGAATCTGTTAAGTTTGGTAGGTTAAATGGATTTTTTTTTTTTTTGGTGGTACTGGGATTTGAACTTGGAGCCTTATGCTTACTAGGCAGGTGTTTTATCACTTGAGCCACTCTACCAGCCCTAAACGGGTAAGTTTTAAAGACTGCAAAATGATTCCTCATCCATAGTTTTAAATTAAAAAAAAAAGTATTTAAAAATTATAATGAAGGCTAGTTGAGAATTCAGAAAAACGGATGTCTTAAATATGGCAGGTGAAAATATAAAAAAAATACTGTTTGGAGGGTAATGGAAACCAATGACTAGCAAAACACGTAAGTATATACATACATACATACACACACATATATATATATATATATATTTTACTCCCAAAGTCCAGTTTTAGGAATCTGCTGTAAGATAATAACAAAAAATGTACACAAAGGCTTAGGAATCTGCTCTAAGATAATAACAAAAAATGTACACAAAGGCTTACATGAAAGAAAAAACAAAATTTACATAAAGAATAACCACGTTATTGATGCATAAAATAGAAAAAAAAATCAAAGATAATTTCAATGTCTCCCAACATGGTTTCAGTTATACACATTAAACATCAGTGACATGTGGGAATTGTATGTAGCCATTAAGCAGCAGATTGTTGAGCTGGAGTGGGGCTCAGTAAAAGGGTGCTTGCCTAGCATGCACAAAGTCTTGGGTTGAATCTCCAGCACCAGGGTGGAGGTGAGGGTGTGTGGGAACAGGATGTTGGAGTTGGAGAATACTTACTGACAAAGAAAAAAGATATCAGACTGTTAGGCAAAACAGGCAGGTTAAAAAATAATGCACAACAGGATCCCAAGTTTATTAAAAAAAAAAAAAGGTGGGGGGGTGCAGAGGAAGTGGGTGTGTGGGTGTACACGTGTGCAAGGTGTATGTGTAAAGGTCAAAACAAAATGGAGACAGTGTCACCTTTGGATGACTTTTTCTAAAATGTTACAAGTGTAAAATTCTTATCAGAAATTAATGTGCTATTTTGAAAAGTTAAAATACAAATTAAAAACGGGTTAATTTTAATTATGTAGAAACATTTGTTCAAATATTTCTTTGAACAAACTATATTTGAATTTGAATCTCTTTCTAGATATTCATAAAAGTAACACAGAAAGCTTTACTTTTCTTAACAGACTCAAGTGCATGGTATGTTCAGGTTCAAATGGGACATTATTTCTGAGGCTGGTAGAATGGTCTATGAACAAAAGGTGGTGGGCTTCCTAAAGGGAAAAGTGCTTCCTGTATAGTAGTATCATAAAATGATAAAGCATTTATCTGCTACTTGTTAGTGGCTCATAATCAGAAACCCATTATCTGGAACATTAAATTAACTGTATTTCGTTTACTCCCCCTTTACAGGAAAGATGAAGAACAAGCTCCTGTCAAGGATTCAGTCAACAGAAAATCCCAGTGTAGGTTCTGCGATTGGCAGGGATTCCTTTCAGCATATAAGGCCCAACAGTGATCAGGGACACACTAAACAATGACCTGATTCACTGAAAGAGCGTTAAGTTACATATTTTTAAAAAATCAAGGTACACACTACTCGAAAGAATTTTAAATAAAGGTGAAAACAGAAATTTCCTGTTAATACTTAGATATGAAATATTCAACTAAACAGACCAGAACATCAAATGAAAATCTAGCCATCCACGATTTCACTGTAATATGAAACACAGGCTCTGAAATTTATAACCCAGTTTCCCTAGAGTCTTAATTCATGACTTTAATCAACTAAAAAAAGAAAACCTTAACAATTTTGGGGTTTTACTTCTCTAGCTACGAAGCATAAAATCATCTCAGGATGTAGTAAAGTTTTATCCATTAAAATACGGCAAAATTAAGATACAACTTAAAACTATGACTGAAACCACAAGATTTTGTGGCAAAAGAGATACTAAAAAGCCTTCCAGATTTTATGTGATTTTATTTATAAAAAAAGAAAATCCAGAATCCACATATATTAAAGTCAGCAAAAGCTACAATAAAACTGAAAAGCTATAAACAGGTGCCAAGTGTTGTTTCCTTGACATACTCATAGGAGTTTAAAGTCTAAGTGCAGCAGGAAGGAATATAGGAGACCCTAGAGGCTTCTGGAATGGTCTAGATTAGGGTTGCCTTGTACAATAAAATGTACCCAGGCATGCATACCTCTTCTCCAAATCCCAAGAGAGACCACAGAATCCTTTCCTGGACACCAAATCTCCTTTGGAGGGCTCCTCTGTTTCCCCATTTGGTCAGCTCACCACTATACAAGCACCTTATACCTTATCTAATTAATTTGCAACTTTAGCCACAACTGTTCTAACACCTACTGATATATCTTACTTTTATAAATCTGAACTCTTCAAAGCCCCATTCATCTCATAATCCAGACATATTTAAAGGAGCTTCTCTGTGAGGAGACCTACTATCCTTCTCTGTTGGGACAATAAAGCTTGTACATATAGCTAAATTGTGTTATCTTTTCATTTGCACCTCTAGTTCCTTTCAGACACCCCTGCATTTTTGCCATCCTAGTTTAGGCAGTTCCTGATTGAAATACATCTTCACCATTGATACTCTGCCCAGAAGTCATTTTCCTCCATAATGATTTCCTCAATGGTCCTAGGTGGTCACAGTGTGTTCCACTTGTTGGGACTATCATACCTGTCTTTGAATCTCTGCAATGACTTTATCCTTGATTTACAATGATGGGTTTCATGAAAAATTTCTTCAAAAAAACCCAACAAAAGCCAAAAAACAAACCTTGGGTATTTAGTTCCTGAAAACATCTCTCCTTCTCTTACCTCACCGTTTCCTTCCCTCAAGAGTCTTTGAATTCCTTATTAATGATTTTGAATTACTGGTGTAAAATCTTAGGAGTTGTTTCTAGTTTACTGTTAAATTTTTAGATCCTTCATGAGGCTAAATCCAAGGCAGATTATTTCTCACAATTGCTCCTTATTGAGCCACCTCATCACCAATTACAGCAAAAGTATTTCCCAACATTTATCTTTCATTCTAAGTCCTAGTCAATCCTTTTTCAAAGCCCATCTCAAACAAACCTTTTCAAGCAAACTATTTCAAGTGTTACTTGTTTGAGTTTAAACTGAGAGCAATCACTTCTTAATTCAAAATGCACATGTCATAGAAGAGCAGAACTGTCCTGTCCTTCAATTCATTTAGCACAGCAGTAGGCACCTTATTGGTGGGTTATCAATACATGTGGTTGATTAACAGGCCTCCCATGAACGTTATTTTCAGCTCACTATCACTCTAGTCCTTAGTAGAGATCTCACCAAATACATCTTGTTATCAAACACTAACAGGCCAAGATGCTCCCTAATGTTATGGCCAAATCCCTTTCACTATGGCTACCACTTACTGCTGGAAGGCAAATGCTTTACGCTGATTATAGCTGATCTTCCTTTTCCATGTGAATGAGAAAATTATTGAGCTAGAGAAATTAACTAACTTACTCAAAGATACTTAAGTGGTGTAGTCAGGACATGACTCAGGCCTAGTTACCTGACTTCAAAATCCATTGTTTCCCCCACAAATTATTATGCCAACCTTCTTGGGCTCTGAAGAAAACTGGAAGTTTCAACTGTCACGTACATATATCACAACAATTCTTCCACTTTATCTAAAACATTCCTCAAGAACTGACAATTCTATTGCACTAAATGTGTATGTTTCTAAGTCTTTTATGCTAAATCAGTGTTCATAATAAACACTTTATTGAAGTTATTGTCCTCAGATTCTTCCTAACAATCAACTTGAAATGGCTTTTTCAACCCAGACAACAATTTGAGAAGGTTCTCACATGTCAACGTTACACTAAGGTATCTTTAACTTCTCAAATGACAACTATTACTGGGGAGTAAACCCTAGTCATATCAGACTTGTGGTAGGTTTTTTTGTTCCCCCCCAAAGCCAAGGGTTCCTCTAACACTCAAGGTTTAGTGCCCCCAAATGTCTTCCCAGTTCTTTAAATTTTTACATCCAAGCCCTAACTAACAGTTCCTAGTTCCAGGCGGACTATCTTGACGACGACTCATCTTTTTCCCTGAAACCTGTAGTCCCTGCTGGCCCTGTGTTGCCAAAGCAGCTTAGTAACACAAGTACAGACCGTACTGGGGAGGCAGTAAGTTGGCCGTTTCGAGGGAGTCTCCACCTGCATTAACCAGTCGATGCAGATAATAGCCAGGGTAGCCACTATCAACAAATTCTACACCAGGAAAGTAAATTTTTGGCAAGTTGGAGAACGGAAACCACAGCATGGAAACTCTGCACGAGCTCTTCAAGATAACGAGCTAAGACTTTAATTTACTCTCGCAGAGGGGACGGTGAAGACTTTCAGCGCGGCAAGACGATACTTTCGAAACTGTCGCTACACTACTCAAACTCAAGTCTCCCGCCCAAAAAAGTGTGGCACATGGCAAGTCCAAAAGGGGCCTCTCTCCAGAGCTCCTGTCCCTGGGAAAGACGCGTTGGGACCGTTTGATCTACCAGGCTGAGGAAGAGGTTAATAGGCAGCAGGAAATCCTGTTTATTTCCAGCAGCCCTCAAAGCGGGAAAGGTCGGTCTCTACACGGAGACGAGCCAGGCCTCGGTTCCAGAGTCCGGTAAGGAAAGCCCAGGCCTCCCGGGCGCCCGGGGCCCCAGCCCCAGCGGGGCTTCCTTCTCCCGGTCCCACTCGGTCCTCGCCACCGTTTCCATTATCCCTTCACCACCCCCGCCCGCGCAGGCGCAGTGGGAGCCGGGCCTACCCGCGCCCCCGAGGCGCCGCGACCATGGCGGAACGGAGCAGGCCTACAGCCGCTCCGCGCGGCGTGGGCGCCCCTCTCCCGTCTCCCGCCACCGCCGGGCCCTGTCCCCTCGGCAGACCCCTCTTCTGCCCTCCTCACCCGTTCTTCAGATCCACCTCCAGGATCTTCCCGTAGCCCTTAAAGAAGCGCTCCACGTCGCGCTCCCGGGCCTGGTAGCTCAGGCGGCCGATGTACACCCGCGGCATCCCGGCAACGGCAGTGGCGGCTGGCCCCAGCCCCCCTTAGGCGGCGGCCGGCGAAACGAGAACGCGGCGGCGGCGGCAACGGGCGGGCGGCGGGACCGACGCAGCCGAACCCCGGCGACGTACGCGAGCACGCAGCTCGAGAGCGCGCGTCTCCGCTTCCCCCACCCTCCCCCCAGGCGGAGGGTAACGGGAGGGAGCGCGCGTTAGCTTCCCGCCCGACCAGGATTGGGGGCGGGTTTTTCCCGGGGGCGCGCCGGCGCGGGGCGGGGCCAGGCAATCGACGGGCGGTGCTAGCCGGCTGTCCCCGACACGTCTTCTCGCGAGCTCGGCGTGGCGTCGGCACCGCCTTCCGCGGTTTAGCCACGCCCCCCGGAAGTGTTCGCGCGTCTGCGCGCGGAGCGAGCCTTCCTGCTTTTGTCCCTTGATCCCAGAGTTGTTTCCGCTTCAGAGCAGCGTGGAATTAAACCTGTCTTCCAAACGTTCGTGTGTATCCGTGACCTTGGGCTCGGGTCTCGCGATGTTCTTGAGCGTCTTTTATCTTCTCTGTTAAAGGGGGTGTTGACAATTTCATGAGACTAGGTATGTAAAGCACTTAGTGTGCCAGCCACATCCTAAGTGCTTGATAAACAGTATCAGAATTATTTTGCAGAGCTGGGGATGGAACCCAGGGCCGCGCGCATGCTAGGCAAGCGCTCGACCACTGAGCTACATCCCCAGCCCCATGTTATTTTTAAAATCGATACTTAAATAGAAATAGCGTTGCGAAGTGAAGGCTAGAACTTTGGAGTTAGACGAGGTGTGACACTAAGTTTCTTCACTAGTCTCATTTATTTCTAATCTGTAAAACTGAAATTTATATGCATCCCAGTGGACTATCAGGATAAACATATGGGGTAGTGCTTGTTTTCTGGCGCGTAGGAGCTCAACAATTATTGGTTCCCTTCTCGCTCAATTTACCTGGAGCCCCTAGGGGGTCTTGCTTCTTTGTATTTCTTCAAATTTTTAGACGGTAACTCCATTCAAATGATAGACAGTGAGAAGGTCTCCCTTTTCTGTCCCCACCTTCCTAGTTTCCCTGCCCAGGGGCAATAGGATATTTATCCTCCAGAAGTTAATTTTTTCATAGAAAGCAAATAGTAAGGCACTACAATACAGCTCTTGGCTTAATTTTTTTTTTTAAAAACAGGGTCTTGCTATGTAGTCCAGGATGGTCTTGAACTCCAAATCTTCCTGCCTCAGCCTTCCAAGTGCTGGGATTACAGGCGTAGGGCCACCATGACTGATTTGACTTAATATATTTTGAAAATCCTTCCATAAGAGTACAAAAGCTTCCTCAGGACCGTTTTTATGGGTACCATTTTATAACTCAGTAATTTATCCAGTGTTCTAGTGAATTAAGGACATTGAGATGGCCCCAACCTTTTGTTACTGGAATTGCTGCAATGAATGGCCTTGAATATTCATATATGTAGGATATATTCCTGGAAGTAGAAATAGCAGGGGATATAGCTCAGTGGTAGAGCACTTGCAGAGCCATGGATTTGATCCTCAATACTACCACCAAAAAAAAAAAAAAAAAAGTCTTGGAAGTAGGAGTATTTGTATGAAAGGGTGTGGTCATGTGTAGTTGTCATAGATAGCGCTCAGCAGTCTATAGGTGCCCATTTCCGTATACTCACAACACTGTCTTGTCAAACACGGGATCCATTTCTTTTCCCACTTCTTATTGTACTGGTATCTCACATTGTACTTCAGGCCTTCACCCGGGCTTCTATCCATGCTGCTGTCTTTGCCTGGACTATGCCTGGCTCCTTATTCTGGCCCTGAGGCCTGCTTGTTCAAGTGCCCTCTGCATCATGGTATTGCTCTGATTTTGTTTTCACAGCACTTATCAGTGCCTGTAATTAACTTGTTTACTTATTCACTTGTTCACTGTCTTTCTCTTCTACTGGGAAGTAACCTCACTGGTATCAGCGGCCATGTTTTTTTACCTTGTGCTGTATCCCTTAGCACCTTCAACAGTGCCTTTCATATGTAATTGAAATAGTTACAGGTATGGTAGTTTCACCACTGGGAAAGCTCAGTCAGAAGGATCACTTGAGCCCAGGAGTTCAAGACCAGCCTGGTCAACATAGACTGTGTTGGGGTCCAAGGTTGACCACCCCTCAGAGGAACAAAAAGACACGATAATGTAAGCCACAAAGCGAGGTTTATTTCCAGCCAGCTGGGGTCCGGGTATCTGCCGGACGCAGTGGGTTTCAACACGGACCCCGAATACAAAATTCAGGCTGCTTTTATATTTCTTTAGACATTAGTCACGGTCACACAGCAATTTTTATGGTCCCTGGGGTCACATATTTCTGATATCACCCACATCTTGGTGGTGGGGCAAGATTACTTGAAGATTATTTATCAGGAATTTGGTAAACACCAGGTGTCTCAACTCATTGACTCACATACCGTTTTAGCAAGATTAACCAGAAACAGTCCCTGTTCCCAGAAACCGTCCCACCTCCCTTGTTCCAGTAAGTGGTGGCTTGGGTCATGTTAGCCATGGCTGGTTTCAGGCTGAGAGGGCTGCAAGCCTCAAAGGTACCCTAACATTTGTACCCTAACATTCCCCCCTTTAGTTGTTCATAATGAGGAATCATGCTCATCTGGGCGACGAGCGTAAACATCCTCAGGACTAGGTAATTGTTCGTATTGCTGCCTCAGGACCATGAGTTGGACTGTACTAACTCGATCTTTCACGAAGGTCACTAGCTTATTCAGAATACAAGGACCAAAGGTTAAGATAAGCAATAGTATGACCAGAGGGCCCACCAGGGTAGAGACCAAGGTAGTGAACCAGGGGGACCTATTGAACCAAGCTTCGAACCAATTTTCTTGGGCTTCCCTTTCCCGTTTCCTTTTTGCCAGTCCTTCCCTCACTTTAGACATAGACTCCCTAACTACCCCTGAATGGTCAGCATAAAAACAACATTCCTCCCCTAAGGCGGCACATATTCCCCCCTGCTGAAGGAACAGTAAGTCTAGGCCCCGTTGGTTCTGAAGCACTACCTCAGATAGAGAGGTAAGGGATTTTTCTAGGTGACTAATGGAGGCTTCTATCCTCTCTATATCCTCGTCTATGGCTGCACGCAGCGAGGACATCCCTTTATGTTGAGTAGCCAGGGAGGCTATGCCAGTTCCTGCCCCAGCCACTCCTAGGCTAAGTAGGGTAGCAATGGTTAATGCAGAAACAGGCTCTCTCTTCTTTCTCTCACCTGTTCCTGTATTCCAGTATGAATATAGGCTCTCCTCAGAATGATAGATGATGCGGGGCAGCACAGCCACTAGGACACAGAATTCTTTAGAGCCGTTAAACATTTGTACCCTAACAACTGCACTTCAAAACAAATTAAAATTATTATTTTTGTTAGTAGTGGGGCTTGAACTCAAGGCTTTGTGCTTGCTAGGCTGGCGCTCCACAGCTTGAACCACACCTTTGACCCCTTTTACTCTGGTTATTTTGGGAATAGGATCTTGCTTTTTTCCTAGGCTGGCCTGGACCCCATCCTTGTACTTTATGCTTCCCTCTGTAGCTGGGATGACAGGTGTGTACCATTATGCCTTTTTTTTCCATTGAGATGGGGGTCTTGTGAACTTTTTTTGCATGGGCTGGCCTGGAACCTCAGTCCTCCCAATTTCAGCCTCCTGCATAGCGTGGGGTGGCAGGTGTATGCCACCATGCCCAATTATTGGTTGAGATGGGTTCTGTGAACTATTTCCCTGGGCTGGCCTTGAAACACAATCCTCCTAATCTCAGCCTCCCAAATGGTATTATAGGGGTGAGCCACTGGTGCCTGGCAATAGTTATTTTTAATGTGGTGCTGGGAGTTGAACCTAGGGTCTTCAGCATGCTAAGCACACACTTTATCACTAAGCTACATCTGCAACCCTTCAAAATAGTTATTGAGTGATATGTGAACTAATGTAGACTAGTTCATTGATCTGCTACTTCTCCCTTTTTTCATGCCTCTCCCTAAGACATAGACTCCATGAAATTTGAACTTTTCTTGTTGACATGTCAATGACAGATGAAGACATGTCAAGAACAAAATCAGGAAGTCCTCAGAAGAGAGGAAGCTCTATGGTCCACTATGAGGCCCAAAGAGTTAGGTCTGTCTGGTGTGGTGACCAAACAGGGTCAGGGACCAACTTCTAGTACCAGCTTTGTTTCTTGCTGTGTGTACCTGGAACAACTCACTTCACCTCCCTCAGTGACTTCCTCTCCTGTACGGAGGTGATATTGAAACCTCCACGTCAGCTGTACAAACGAAAGTTAGATGCAGATAGAAGTGCCTGGACACTGCAGAGGGCTCAGGGCAAAGCGAAGCTTCTCCTCTTTCAGAAGATGCTACTGTCCTTCCCACCTTCCTCCCAAGAATTTTCCTGCCTACAGCTGCCAGCAGATGCTATGCTAAGACAGCTGTCTTTCCCACCATTTGCAGCTATCCAAGTATGTCCTACCCAAGATATGGCACCTGCCAAGAGGCATGGTGGGTGTTGCTAGGCACTTCCAGGGATAAGGACAGCAATGCCTGGAACACATGGGTTCATGAAAGAGCCTTTCTTCTGGGCCCTAGTCTTCGCATGAGGAAAGTGGACTTATTATCTCATCTCCTAAGGCCCAGATGTTCATCAATATTGTGGCAGTTTGTAGAGAGGCTGGTACCAAAAGAGGACAGGGAGGGGCAGTCAGGCCACTTGAATGCTTCAGGTGTACTGCAGCTTTGCCTTGGGAAGTAATGCCTATTTGTCTTTATTTCTGGAGCCTAGGGTCCATTTGCAAAAGGTGTTTACTTCGTGGGCCAGAAAAGCTATCCCAACTTCAAGAGATCACTCACATTCAGCCTGAAAGTGAGAGTTTCCCACACTTGTTTAGGAGAGACACCCATTTGAAGTCATGTTCTCTTTTTTTTCTTTTTCTTTGGTGGCACTAGGGTTTGAACTCAGGGCCTCACACTTGCTAGGCAGGTGCTCCACCACTTGAGCCACTCCGACAGCTCTTGTGATGTGTTTTTTCAAGATAGTGTCTTGCGAGCTATGTGCCTCAGGCTGGCTTTGAATCGTGATCCTCCTGATCTCTGCCTCCTGAGTAGCCAGGATTACAGGTGTGAGCCACTGGCATCTGGCTCTCATTGCTTGTCTGTTTCCTTTTTTCAGCTAGCCTCTTAAATGTTGGCAACCATTAGTTGGTGTTTGAAGTTTGGCTGTGGAGTGGCGGGGATGGATTTACTTATCTGAAATTCAGAAGCCTGAGAATTTCCAATTATATCTTTCTTTAGTGCCTCCCTCCTCCAAATTGTCCCCCAACCTGATACCAGAGGGATTTTTCCAAATCATGTTCTTCTGATTTAGAAATCTTTGTCCCCTATACAAACAAGGTAGAGTAAATTCCTTTGCTGGGAATTGCAAGTTGCCACAATTAACTTTTTCTGCTTCTGATTAGTTGACTTGATTTCAGAGAACATTAAATCACTTAGTACATGGTATTACTTAGCATTAGGTTTAGTGAAATGTCACATACCAGGGGCTTAATTTAGTAAGGTAGAAGCTTTTTGCTCATGAATAGCAGGTCCTGAAGTAGGCAGCTGGGGACTCTGGGTGTCAGAGCTGCAGCTCCTTTGACCTTGATGCTGTTCCATCCTTACCATGGTCAGGCATGGCTGTACACAGGTTTGTTCCCAGGAATCATGTCTGTACCCCTACTGGGAGGAAGGCAGAAGGGGAAGAAAAAAGCACAAGGTGCATGGCAGCTACATCTAAAGAGGGTCCTAAGAAACTGGCACCTAACACCTCTGCTTTACACCACTGGTGTGACCTTGTTAGCTGCAAGGGAGGTGGAAAAATATAGTGTAGAGTCCAGCCTACCATGTTCCTGGATAAAAGTTGTGGGTTTTAAGTCTAAGAAAGAGAACAGCGTGCCTACCAAGCATGAGGCCCTGAGTTCAAAGCTCAGTGCTGCCAAAAGAACAAACCAAAAAAAGGGTACTTGGGGAGAAGAGGATGGTTCTAATATAAATGCTCTGCTTCTGTAACTTTGCTCATCTGGTCCCTGAGTCTGTAATGTTTGTCTCCCTTCCCTGAGTAAATTATAATCATCCTTTGAAGAGCAGTCCAAGTGCATAACTCCCGATCCCTAAAGACACAATGCCAAGTTCCCTTCACTGTTCTCAAGATTTTGAAGGTTCCTTCAGAAGATCATCAGCCTCCTCCCAGAGTTGTACCAGGGGCTTCCCTCACCATGGATGTAGACTCTCCTAACCCTCAACTTTATGGACTCCCAAGACCTTCATCTTACCTTTTGCTCCTGCAGCCTCCCCTCCCTTGGAGGTGTTTGCATTTGCCCATATTGACTCTGTACAAATCACCTGTCCCAGTAACCTAGAGGACAGATTGGGGAATGGAAAGGGGAGGGGCTGGTCCTGAGCCCAGGTGTACAAAATGGCAAATTTTACCCAGGGGCACCTGCAGACCTTTCCCAGCTGCAGGCTCAAGCTGAGTCCCTCTCTCCGGAGGCCACACAAGATGTTCTCAGAGGAAAGAGTATGCTGGGAGCCTAGGTACACACTGGCATGCAATTAAACACAGACAGTTTTTGTATCATCTCCCCGTTGCTCAAAATCCCTCATTGCCCCTCCAGACTTCAGGGAAGTCCTGGCTACCGGGCCTTTTGAGATCTGACCCCTGCCTACTGTTCCCATTTCAGTTTTTATCTGACACCCTCTCAAGCAGCAGCTACACTCCACTGTGTGCAGTTCCCCAAGTGCCAGGATCTCTCTGTCCTCCAAACTCTTCCACATACTGGCTGGCTTTGCTTGATACACGTTTTCCTGTCTGGACTTGGAGATTTCTGTGGACATTATCCCATGAGTTCTTGACAGCCTCAGGCAGAGCTGGAGCCCTTCAGTGTCCTCTCTACCTCCATCTTTAATACTGAAATGGTCTCTTGCACTATGCTATGCAACTTGAGGGCCAGCACATCTCTCATTCCTTGCTTTAACCAAACACTAGGCACTCAGCGAATGCTCCCTGAATGAGACCAGGTGACAAAGGAGACATCCGTAAGTCTGTTCTTTGCTTTGGGCAAGTGGATCATGAAGCAAACACCAGTCAACTGAGGCACTCTTCTTGTCTGAATGAAGCTGATTCAATTTTTAGGCTCCACTTGCTAACTCCATCTCAAGGAAGCCCTGTTGCCCATTGCCCTGGCCACACTTTCTCAACAGCAGCACCATGGAAACTCTGGGCTCAATGACTGGTATGGGAGGCTGGCCTGGGCATTGTAGGTTTGTTTGTTTGTTTTTTGGCAGTACTGGGGGGTCAAACCCAGGGCCTTATGCATGCTAGGCAAGAGCTCTACCACTGAGCTCCTACAATCCCAGTCCCCTTTGCAGAAGGTTTACTAGTATCAGTGACCTCTGTCTACTAGATGCCAATAACAACCTGCTTTCCAAAAATGTCCCCAGACATTGTCAAATGCCCTTGAGGGTAAAGTTGCCTCTGGTTAAGAACCATTGGTATATAATGTCTATTTCCATTAGAATGGAGGTGCCCCAAGGGTTGGCCAGCCACCTGAGGTCCTGGTGCTCAGTTGCTCAGGGCATGGTGACCTCAGCCCGCACTAGCTCTTCTGTGTAGCTGACCCCCTTGCCCGGGGCAGACCTGCATGCTTCCCCAGAAGTGAGCTCAACCTTCCTTTATACAGGACTCTCTGTGGGCTTGTACGCTGAGGGCAGAGACGGTGGCTTGCTGGCTTCTGCACTTCTCTGCACCCACTGAAGAACTGCTTTCAGGGTAGTCAGGAAATGCCCACTGGGGAGCAGGTGAGGGAGAAATGGCATGGGGCTCATTAGTGCTGTGAGATGGCAGGGGCATAGTGGTGCTCTTCCATACGGATGATTTTAGTCTTTGTTCTTTATTTAGAAAGTTCACACTTTATTACCTACACTGAGGCTGGCCTCTCCATCCTCCAGGTGGGAAAAGTGGCAAGCAGAAAGCAGTCTGAGAAGGCTGGGCCCCGATGGAGGGGCCTGCAGCCAGCTCTGTTGGTCCACCTCCTATCCCACCTCCTTCTGGCTCCTCTGGGATGATCACATAATGAGAATCTGCTTTGAAGACATGAAGGGCTCCATCGAGGCTCCCAAGGCCTGCTGGAAGTCCTGCAAAGGGACCTCGGAGCAGGCAGGGGCCGTGAGCTGGCCTTGGTAGATGAGGTCACATAGAGTGAGGATCAGCTTTTTGAACTCATCTGTGGGAGGAAGTCAGACGGGACAACAACTGGAGTTGTGGGCTGGTGCTGAGTGCCAGTAAACCTCAAGAGCAAGGTGTGGTAGGCATGCCTGTAATCCCAGCTACTTGGAAGGCAGAGGCAGGAGGACCCTAAGTTCAAGGCCAGTCCAGGCAAAGTTAGTGATACCCTATCTCAAAAACAAGAAATAATACAAACTGAAGGACTGAGGATGCTAAGTGTGGTGGCTCTTGCCTATAATCCTATGTACTGGGGAGGCAGAGATCAGGAGGATCATGGTTTGAGGCCAGCCCCCATCTCAACAAAAAAGCTGGACATGGTGGTGCACACCTATCATTCCAGCTATGTAGAAGGATCAGGGTCCAGCCTGGCCCAGACCAAAAAAACAAAACAACCCCCCCAAAAAAAGCAAACCCGAGACCCTACCCAAGAATAATAAACTAAAACGGGCTGAGCATGTAGCTCATGTAGTGAGGCTCCGAGTTCAAACCCCAGTACCACTAAAAATGAACAAAAAAGGGCTGGACGTGCAGCTCAAGTGGTAGAGTGCTTGCCTAGCATGCCTGAGGGTACAGGAGAGGGTAAATTGGGCGCCTCAAGAACCCTGGCTTTGCCAAAGCTGGTGTGGCTGTGGAGGAGGCCTGGTCCCTGCCTGTGACCAGGACAGTGAGGGCCAAGGTGGGGACAGAGGAACATGGGGAGTGGCTGCAGGAGCTTCTGGAAAGGCAAAGCCTACCCTTCTGAGCAGAGGCTGAGATGGCTCAAACCCATAGAATAGGACTGAGGTGTAGCTGGCACTGAATGGTGGGAGGAGCAGGGAAGCCAGAACAAGCCCCCAGAGAGAGGTGGGTGCACCTGGCACAAGAACTGACTAGATGAGCTTGACTTGAGAAAAGTGCTCTTCTTCACAGCCCTGTACTCCCCCAGTAGCCCTTGACCTGAGGCTGGCCTTCCTGAGGCATGCACCAATAGGTGCATGAAGATGAGCGGTGAAGGCCTTGGCTGAGAAGTACTTTGTCAGACATAAATTTGTTCAACCTTTGAATCTAATTTTACTTTCTGATCAAAACCACTTCAACACTCTCCACTTGCTTTCAAGACAGTCTGAACTCCTTGAAAAGGTTTTTAAGGCCTTTTATAATCTGTTCAGAACCTGCCCTGCTCATCCAGCTTCTCAGCCCCAGTGCAGACCTAATGCTCGTCACTCATAATCACTGTGGTGCCAGGTTGGTCATGCTCACTCTCCACTATGGGATTTTGCACGTACTGTTTTTCTGCCTGAAATGCCCTATGCATGCCAACACTTCCCTCTTCTTCACTTGGACAACTCCATGTGATTCTCGTTGTCAGCTTGTGGTCTCACACTGGGGAGCTAGGCCTCTCTGACAGGAACGGCAGTGTACTGGCTCATGTTCTGAAGTCAGAGAGCTCACCTGCTCACATCCTGGAGTAACTGATGAACTATTTAGCCACTCTGAATCTCAGTTTCCTCCTGTCAAACAGGGCTCAGAAGAGTTTAAATTATTATGATGTGTAACCTGAGGCAGAGATTCAGTTTCTTGTCCAAGTTCCCCTTGGCAGAACCTTGATCCAGTGATGGTGGAAGAAGGATATGAACACAGGCACACTGGCTCCAGTGTGCTGTTGCTGTGTCACCCTGTAGCCCACACTGGCCTTGAACTTGAAATCTACCTCCCTCAGCCTCTTGAATGCTGGGATTACAGGGATGTATGTACCACTGCACTCAGCCTGTTTTCTCTCTCTCTCGGTTTTTTTTTTTTTTTTAGGGGGGTGTGGGACTGGGGTTTCATGCTTGCAAAGCAGGTGCTTTACCACTTGAGCCACATCTCCAGTCCATTTTTGCTCTGGTTATTTTTGGAGATGAAGTCTTAGAAACTATTTCCTCAGACTGGCCTTAAACCTCGATCCTCCCAATCTCAGTTTCCCAAGTAGTTAGGATTACAGGTGTGAGCCACCAGTGCCTGGCAGCCTGCTTTATTTGTCAGTCTTCCCCACTATCAGTCAGCTCCTTAGGACAAGGGCAGTGTCTTGCCTTACTTGATTCTGTGCCCTGAGGACTAGCCTACTTTAATCTGTAAGGATTTGCTGACTGCAGCTGTGTCTACAGGCTTTTTTTCTTTATCCTGTTGTGGGGTTGAGGATCCAATTACTTGGCAGGGCTCAGAGTAGCTGGTCACTTCTGCAGCCATACTAGGCACTGCTGTGTCCTGTATACCTTGGCCTCAGAACATCATCCTCTCACCTGAACTGTGGTCCTTCTTCCACTGGGACAACCAAAAACCCCGAAGTTTGAGGTCCTTAAAAATGAGCAGGCTCTGTGGACACAGGAGATGTAAAGGCAAGGGACTGTGAGGCAAGGACTTTAGGCACTTCTTAGGGTATAACCCCTCCCCTCACCCTCTCTCCCCACCCCCCACAGGGGCATAACCTGAGTTTAGACAACTATGGGCCAGGGAAAGAGGCTGCTGAGTTCTCCTAGCCTTGGTCTGTAGCATATCTCCCCCACCCCTGCCCCTCATCCCCAGCTTACCACAGAGGCTATGATGGGCTGCTTGGCCATCCCCCCATAGGTCACCATGGTTCCTCCAGGCCTGCAGAGTCCAGACAGAACAGAGTGGGTACAGGCAGAGAGAGAGAACCTGTCATGGTCCAGAATCCCCCCAGGGGAACCCACTGTGGCACTTATATTCCAATCCTGTCTCCTAAACCTTGTTCGCAGAATCCTTGAGAAGGATTAGAAATACAGATTCCTAAACCCAACCACGGACCTAAGAAGTTAAGAGGCAAGAATCTACATTAAAACAACACATGCAGGACTGGGGATGTAGCTCAGTGGTAGAGCACTTGGCTGGCAAGGCCATGGGTTTTATCCCCATCACCACAAAGACAAAACAAAAAAACCCTGCATACAGCTGGCTATGCTGGTGCACACTATAGTCCTAGCACTCAGGAGGCTGAAGCAGAAGGATAACAAGTTCCAGTCCAGCCTGGGCTGCATATGGAATTCCAGGCCAGTCTGTTACATTGTGAGACCCTGTATCAAAACCAAACCAAACCAAGAAAAGACAAAGCCCATATCCATTCCAGATGACCAGAATACTTAGCCAAGGCTGGGAACCCACAGACCCAACCCATCCATGTAGACTTTATTGAGTGCTGGAGATGAATCCCTGCCCAAACACCTCCCTCCCATAACCCCACCCCTGCAAACAAACAAAAAAAAAGAGTTCAAGGCCAGGTTCAGTCCTGGCTCCATCCTCCTCACAGGAATGTGACCTTGTGAATTCAATGAAAATGGTCTAGACCTTGTCTCATCATCTGTAAATGCTCATTCTAAACATGCCCCTGGGTTGGAGCATGGCTCAAGTACAAGAATGCCTGGCTAAGTATCAGTTCTATGAAAAAGCTCTTTAGCTAAGGAGTTATGTGGAGGGGTGTAGGATACAATGATGAGTGCCTGATGAATGTCCTCAGACATCTACATACCTACCTGGGTAATCAAATAGGAATGAGGCTAATGGGGATCTGAGGTTTGAACTCAGGGCTTAGTGCTTGCAAAATGGGTGCTCTGCCACTTGAGCCACACCTCCAGTCCATTTTGCTCTGGTTATTTTGGAGATGAGGTCTCAAAAACTATTTGCCCAGGCTGTCCTTGAACAACAATCCTCCAGATCTCAGCCTCCCAAGTAGCTAGGATCACCAGCTGACCCACTGGTGCCAGGCTTCCCTGGCTCTTTTATGAGCTTGTTGATCAAGGGTGACCTGAAGCACATTTTGGGACAACTAAAGGAAGACTAAACTACAAAATGGAAGAAGCTGCTGTGTGAGGTAGGTAACTGGCCCTGAGCCTGATGGGTAGTTTGGTCTTTTTTTCTTTTTGGTGCTGAGATGGAATCCAGGGTCACACACACGTTAGGCACATGCCTTATCACTTAGTTGTACCCCCAAGCCCCTAATTTGGTCTTAAGTTCCCTTCAACTGATACTTGTTCCTGTAGAACCAAGCCCTCTCCACTGTCTCCCCCTTCACTTGGCCCAGTCCGAAGAGCTGATATTTGCTGGATGTCTGCCATGCGCCAGGCATGGCTCTAAGCCTGTTAAGTCTCTGAATTCTCATAGCAACCCTAGAGGTGCACTAGGACACCCTCATTTTGCTGACGAGAAACTTGAAGTCCACCTGTCATTTGTATAGTGATTTGTACATAATTTTAGTGTTCCTTAGACCAACCTTCAGAGGCAGAATGGGTTATCACTCTCATTCTACAGTTGGAGAGACTGAGGCCTGGATCATTTTTCATGTATTGCCTAATTTTTCACAGGTCTGGAGCTAGTAAGTAGAGAGCTGGGGCTTGAGCCCAGCCATTCTGATGACAATGCCTATACTTACGACCACTGCATGAGGTTTCCTTGGAAGCCACACAGGGGTGGCAGTTGGCCTCAGAGGCTACTTGGGCTGCACACATGTGCACTAGAGTCATGCAAACTTGGGCTTAAGTCTGATTCTCCTGCCTACTATACTATGGACAAGCAGGGCTCCTCTCTGGGCTCCATTTCTCAAAGTATAAAGTGGAGATGGAGGGGTCGGGGGTGTAGCTTAGAGGCGGAGTAGTTCAGTGGTACAGTGTATGCTTACCATGTAAGAAATCCTGGGTTCCATCCCCAGCACCAAAAGGAAAAAAAGAAAGGAAGAAACTGGAATAGTAGCTCTTGCCTAGGGATAGTAGGATGGCAAGTCAAACACTGCAGAATCTGCTGTATGGTAAGCACTCAGTGACTCTCATGCCAGCTCTTTGGCTAGGTGGTTTGTGTGCCCATCCAGCCTGTGCTCTCCCTTGGTGGTTAGCCATCTCTGTGCCTGGTAGCTAGTGAGCACTCTCAGCCCATATTAATTGAGTCACTGTAGAGGCCCTGTCCTCCAGCTGGAGAAGTGTATGTCCAAGGGGAGAACAGAGGATGCACAGCTAACACTGTTAACAGTGCTGCTCTTCCTGGGTGTGGGGTGACAAAGCTTTCATGTTTACCTTTCCCTTTGTACTTCTACATGCTTTCAAAATGTTTTGTAATAGGCATAATGTTACCTTTGTATTAGAATCTAGTTTAAAAGCCAATAAAAATTATTGAAGCTACTAAGTTCAGACTAAATGACTTTTTAAGAGGCCCCTAGGTTATGAATCCTTGGCCATTCCCTTGTGGCAGAGTTTAGCAGCCTGCTCCTGGGTCCCTGGGAAAAAGGAAGCTGACTAGGCCTCTCAGTCATCTACAAAGAAAAAGGCTGAAAAAGAAGTGCCCATGCCTCTGATGACAATAGTCCTTATTTTCTGCTCAATGTTGTGCTAAGTTGGTCTTGGCTCACAATGACCATTGCCACCTGTCACTTGATAGTCCTCCCTGACGAACACCTGGAGGGATTCTGCAAACTGTACCTGCAGGGACCAAGGGACTTACGCTAAGTGCCGCAGCAGTTCTGTGGAGCTTTTCCCTCCTACACAGTTGAGAGCAAGCCGTGGCTGGGGCATGTCCTGGAAAATAAGGAACCCGCAGTAAGGGAGCTGCCACTCTACATGTGGGGTTTGAAGTTCGTGCTGGCCCAAGGGAGTGATGGAAGTGGGGTGCTTATGCCTTTGAACTTGCTTTTGTCTTTGCCCAGAAAGGGCCTTCAGCAACCTTGCCTGGCTGTCCATTTCAGGACTTGATTCAAACTCACCTCCTCTGAGAAAGAACAGACTAGGAGCATCTATGTTCAGTTTCGAGGGGCTTCAGTTCCCTGAGCGCTCCTCTCTTCAGTGCTTAGTACTCGGTTTACATGCAACATGCTGGTCTTCTGTTTTAGAAACATTCTCAGGGGCACACGCCTCGACGTTGTGTGTTTGGTCCCCCAGACAATTTGGTGCAAAGAGGCTCAGGCAGGGTTTGCCTATTTACTAGGCCTGCTGGGGGTGGGTGTTCTGGAAGAGTAAGGGCTTTCAGTTCAGAGAGACCTGGGGTCACCCAAATGCACCATGTGTATGTGGTCCTGAGTCTGGGTTTTCTGATCTATAAAACTGGTAACAACTACTTTGTAGAACTTTTCTGGGGATTAGCAGGTAAAATGTGAGGCAGAAGCTTAGGAATGTTGCTTCTTTTCCTTTTTCTACCCTCTCTGTGCCTGTTTCTTCCCATTTCTAAGAAGTACACTCTCGATGGGGGTTGATGGAGCCCTCCACAAATGTTTAAAAGTGCAAGTCATATAGGGCTTCCTGAACTTTTGTTTTTCTTGTCTCTCTCCTAGTGTCTGCATGCTGCCCCTAGTTGAAGGGAATGGATTTTATCCTTCCAAGAAGAGGCAAAAAAAAGTAGGCTTTCTGACAGGAGCAAGGGCCAGTCCCCAGTTTTTCTAACTGTAGTCAGCTTTTTGCAGGGAGATGGGCCAGGCATGGAGGGCAACACCCTCTTCCTGGGTACCTTGAACAGGTTTTTTGTTTCAGGCTTTCTTAGTTCCTCCTCTGTGATGACATGCTCAGCTCCCAGATCCTTTAGTCTGTCACTCAGCTTCTGGATGTCAGGCCTGGAAACCAAACACAATCCAAGGTCACTGGTCATACCTGCTGACTTTTCTCCCCAAAGCTCCCAGGACCCCTCTGCCACAGCTGGGAGAACCTGTGTTTCTGTCTTGGGAAACTGGGATTGGGGTTCACCAGGCCTTGAGCAGGAGCCAGCCACATAATTAATCATGCTCCAGCAGCTCTCAGCCTCATTTCCTCATAAGCCATTCCAACGGGACAGAGCCAGGGTGGGAAATTTCTATAGGCCCTGCCAACTCACGGATGCTAAAAACCATCTGTGCCTAGGGGAAGCCATTCTACTTCCTGATTTCTACTGAAATGACAAATCCAATACCTTTCCCCCCTCTTTTCAAGGGGTTCTTCAGGGTGTTGTGCAAACATATTTTAGCCCAGGAGTGGCCCTGGCCATTTTGGCTAAGGCAAACAGAATAATTTTTTGTTAGTGGCATTGAGGAAACTGGAAGTAAAGTGAGCATCAGTTCTCTTACTAAGATTGGACTTCCATGACAGATATAGCCACAGTGAGGCTTAAAGAAACTGGATAATACATTGGGAAGAAATAAGTCTTTTACTGACTTGCTGTGTTTTCATGAGCAAGCTGCATCCTCTCTTTGGTATTTCAGCTTCCTCATCTGTGAGAGATGACAAGCCTGCTCAGTGTCCTTCATAGCTGTATTTAGTGCACAAATGTAAGGGGATAGGAGGCTTTGGACTAGACAGTTCACAGAGCTCAACACTTTCCCAAATGTGAACTGTTGTTTTGAAAATGTGGAGTTATCATAAGTTGAGTCTCCAATACTCTTGGCTGTGCAATAAGGGCAGTCTCCACCTCTTTCCTGCTGTCTTTACATTTCAGAGATTCACTCATCCTATAGCCAAAAGCCACTTGGACTTCATTTCTTGGGGTTGACTCATCTGTTTCAGGATCCAACTATAACTATCCATAAAGGAGGCCATTTGTGCTTATGCAAAGGCGCCATCTGGTGGCGATATGGGCACCTGCAGGGATGCTAGGTAGAAAGGCCCAAGTGTTTGGGATTAGGCCTTCTAACTCACCTGTCTCGGACTACATTGATGGTCCTCAGGCCCAGAGCTGCGGCGATCTGGATGACTGCTTGCCCCACTCCACTGTTGGATGCATTTTGGATGACAGAATCCCCTGTGGAGCCAGGAAGAGGCCTGAGTCAAGCCTGGCAGACCTACAATAAGTCAAGGCCTCTCAGCCTGGGATCCTAACATAGGGCAAGAGATAGAGTCCTCAGGCTCAAAAAGGACCCAGGACCTGGAAGTGGTGCCTTTTCAGAGCTTGGACTGTCACTCACTGTTCCTTCAATGCTTCCCAAACTCCCACAATACCCTGGTGCCTCCCAGGACTTGGCCACTCTATAATTTAGACCTTTCTGTTTAACTGATTTTACATCCTCATCATCCTCCAAACTTTCATGTCCTCTACTTTCTGCTTAGGCCATTTCCCTCACTTGCTTGTGCTTTCTTCTTGAAAACCTCCTGGGTTCTTTCCTCTATGCTCCTCACAACACTCTGAGGGCATCTCTGTCAATGTACAGGCGTAAGCCTGACCTGTCTATTGACAGTACCACCACAGAAAAATAAAATAAATAAAGGTGCACTGCCTTAAAATGGGGTTAGAGTCATAATGGACAAATGGGAAGCCATACAAACAGGGTCCTACAGACTTTGGGTTTTTCTGCTTTTATTTTGTAGTACTAGGGATTGAATACCCGCTCTCCTTCACCAGGCATCAGCCAGCATACAGGCTGTCACTAGTGCATTAAGAATCAGTTTGGTGAGCTGCAAGCAGCATTGTTTCGTTGTTGTTAAGACTCAAGGAGAATAAAATAAAAAATAACACTGCACCTATGTATATTGTTCCATGAAAGATTGGTTTCCATTTTATACATATATATATAATGCATATATATAATATGTATATATATGTATATGTATATATATATGTATGTTCATATATGCATATGTAGTGGATAACAATGTGAAATGTAATTCTTATCATGGGTCAAGATCGTAAGTTTGTTCAACATTGATCTAGCCCAGGCCACATAAGTGCTGAAGAAAAAAATTGTAGAGATGCACAGTGAGAACTTACATGGGTGGTGTCAGAATGTCAAGATGTGTCCAGCACAGCTGCAGCCTGAGATAGGAGTGGTTCAGAGGATGAGATACAGGTAGCCACAGTGTTGCTGTGTTAGACTTCAGCAATAGTCCCTGGTCATACCTGTCAGCTCTCTCCACTGAAGACTTCCAAGACTCCTCTGCCACAGCTGGGAGAACCTAGGAAGCTTGGCCAGTGGCTAGTTACCTAACTTCATCATACCAACAGTTCTTGGCTTCAGCTTCCTCACTAGCATGAGAGAAGTAGTCTGGATGATTTCTACAGTCCCTGCCAGCTCAAGGATATGCACAGTGTGCAGGGGCAGCTCTTATACAATGGGGAGGTAGGGCCAGGGATGTGGCTCAGTAGTATAGTGCTTGCCTGGCATGTGCAGGGCCCAGGATTCAATCCCAGCACTGCAAATGAAACAAAAACCAAAAACTAATGGGAGACAAGGTCAGAAAACCGGCCCAGCCACATTTAGGGGTTAATTTGGGTTTTATGAGGGTCTTTAGAGGGTTGCCAGTAGGACTGAGCTCAGGTTGCCTATAGCAGTGACCTGCCTTAATGGGCTTTGCCTTCATTCCAGTCTTGCCTTCCCACTCCCTGACCACTTCCCAAGAAACTGTCTGTCTCTACTCTTAGTCTCAGGCTGTGCTTTCGGTGAGCTCCAATAAAACAGCTGGCATTGTTTACTTGCAGAGAGATTTCATGCAAACAGTTCCTTTCTCTGGGCCTCTTGTTCCCCCCTGATAAAAAGAGGACTAACAAAAGTAACTGATAGTCACTGAACTGCAGGCAGGCCCTCTGTTAAGTTACACTGCAGTGATTTATTAGCCCTGAGCTCCTTCTCCATCTTATGGAAGAAACCAGATGATGTGGGCCGTGAATTTATATCATGAGGGTAGATGAAGCCAGGGTTTAGACCTAGCTTGGTTTCCTGGGGCTGGGGCTCTTACCCATGACACTAACCTCACAGCACTGCTTTGAGGATGTGACATGCTCTGTGGGGATGGTGCCTTTGTGAATGGAAACTGCTGTATAAATGCTGAGTGGAATTACTAACACAAAGTTCAGCATTTTATTGAAAACACTGGGACTGTATCTATCTTGTCTGGCTTTGTATCCCCAGAGTTTAGCACAGCTCAACACATTTTTGCTGGGTGACAGCATTCCATCCCAAGCTCTAGGGAATGTGACCTTTTAGTAGTTTCCCAGGAATATCTCCTGGGGAATTTTCAGCACATTTCTAAGTAAAAGCAACAACACATCCAGGTTAGGGACCACCATCCCCCAGAACTCTCCATGACAAGTTTCTATGGTCTCAGGGACAGGACTGAAGTTGCACTCCAGTAGGGAGGCCCTGGCCTGCTCACCACCCCCCCTCCAGGTTTCTACCTGACTGCAGCTGCTCAAAGTCCATCAACATCCTGTAGGCTGTGCAGGGGTTGACACCTAGGGTAGCAGCACTCTGAAGAGGGATGTCACTGGGAACTCCAATGAGTGCTTCTTCACTGAACATGGCCTCTGTCCGCCAGGTTCCTGAGTTAGGGATTGAGGAAGGGGAGTGAGGAAGGACTCTCTGCATACCCAACCCAAGTTACCCTCCTCGGTACATGAGCAGCTTGGAGAGCCAATTTCAGGTAACATTCCAAGGAAAAAAAATACTGCAGTCTCTTGAGATGTCTCTGAGACTTCATGACAATTAACATATGGTAGATTTTATTATTCCCACTTCAAAAATGTGGTAAGGGAAGTTCAGAGAGCTTGTCTCTGAGTTAGCATTAGATTTAGCTCATGTTATAGTGTAGGGGGCTAAGGACCTCAAACTATTTGCCTCTGAGGGCATGAGAGTAATGTTATCACTAGGGCAAGAGAAGCCATGAAAGTCTCTTCCCTCCACAGTTCTCTTTCTTCTCAAAGGCCAGCTAACTTGGGTGGTTACAAAAAATGGTATCAAGGTAGAAGCCAAGGGTCTTAGTTTGGCACATGGTTTTTCTATTCTGTTAGTCTGAGCAAATTCCTAAGTCACTGAGTTTTGTGCCCCTAATATGTAAATGACACTTGTAAGACTGACTGGCCTCCTCAGAAGTTGGTGTACAAACCCAAGAGATGTAGGAAATGAAGAAATCTATGCTAGAAAGAAATGACCATTATCCCCAGCCAGCCCACATTCTAATTCCAGACCAAAGAATGGCAGAATGGCAGTGCTGAGAAGGCCCTTGTCAAGTATTAACACCCTCAGAAGCAAACCCCTCATCCAACAGGGCAGAATTAGAGCTACATTCTGGGTATCTGGGCTACATCCTTCCAAGCCAGGCACTTAAACACACATATTCCCTCATTTATTCTTTCCTCCCTTCCTTTTTCTTTTTTCTTTTAAAATTTATTAATTATTATTTATTATTTTTTGTGGTGTTGGGAATTGAACTCAGGATTTGGTGTAGGCCAAGCAAGCACTCTACCACTGAGCTATACCTCAAGTCCTAGTTAATTTAATTTTTATTTTTTGGGTGGTAATGGGGGTTGGACTCAGTGCTTGTGCTTGCTATGCAGGTGCTCTACCACTTGAGCTACTCCAGCCTTGTTTTTGACTGGTTACTTTTGAGATAGGGTCTTGCTTTATGACCAGATGGCCTCGACCATTATCCTTCTGTTTGTACTTCCCTGCATGGCTGGGATGACAAGCATGTGCCACCACACTAGCCACTGATTGAGATAGAGTCTTGTGAGCTTTTTGCCTGGGCTGGCCTTGAACAATGATTCTCTTGTTCTCTGCCTCCCAAGTAGCCAGGATTATAGGCTTGAGCCACGTGTATGGCCTTATTTTATTTTTAACAGATGGCATCTCACTATGTTGCCCAGGCTGGCCCTGTACTCCTGTGCTCAAGTAATCCTCCTGCCTCAGTCTCCCAAGAAGCTGAGACTTCAGGTACGTACTACCGTGCCCTGCTACATTCCTTACTTTCATTCTATTGGAGAGAACAGGTGAAAAGCAAGCAAGCAAATGTAAGAATTATAACTTACAGAGACAGATAGTAGCAGTGGAGACAATCACTTCAGGCAGGAGTCAAGGATGGCTTCTCTGAGGTGGTGACAGGTTAAGAGTTAAAGGATGGAGATGCTAACCACTCAGAATATACAAGGAACATTCTATGCAGAGGACAAAGCATATGCAAAAACTGAAGCAAGACAGATGTAAGAATGGAACTGGTGAGCCCACTTGGGAGGGCAGAGAGTGATGGGAGGAATTGCTTGAGATGGGGCTGTTTGGGCTAATAGGGTCTGGACTACATGAATGTAATACAGATTCATGATCTTGACTTAGGATAACCATGAGTTCCACTCTGAATTAGTGCCTACATATTTATATTTTATTATATGTATATAACAGAAGCCTAGGTTTTATGGAACAATATTTAGCCTTACTAAGTGCTAAAGTTTGGATCTTGAATGTTCCTCAAAGGCCCTCCCATTGAGTGCTAGTAGGTGTAGTAGAACCTTTAGGAGGTAGGGCCTAGTGGAAGGAAGTTAGGTCATTAGGGGTGTGCCCTGAAGGGGATATTTGGGACCCTGGCCCCTCCTCTTACTCTTTGCTTCCCAGGCACTATGAGGCAACAGGCCTCCTCTGCCATGTGCTCCTGACATGAGGTATGGGACCACCACAGGCCCAAAGTAACAGGGCCAATTGATCGTGGACTGGAGCCTCGGAGATATGAGCCAAAATAAACCTATTCTTTCTAAGTTGATTTTCTAAGGTATTTTGTCACAGTAACAGAAACTGGCTAACATATGATGTGTAATTTATCCTAATTTTTATTCTGTTCTGCTCAATTTTGGTTAAAAAGTGCTATTTGCACTCTCTGGATTGATGGGTCATAGCATGCAGTTTGAAGTCACAGGGCTTAGGGCCATGGTGTAGACAGCAGATTTTATTTTAGTGAATGGGATGCTGTTAACAAGCTTTGGGACTGAAGTAATCTGACATCTGCTGTAAGATCAGTCTGTTGCTGAAAGGAAAGACTATGGGTGGGAGGGGCAGTGTAGGAGTGGAGGGGGCAGTAAGGAGGCTGGTGTGGATTATGAATCCCAGATGATAGTCACCTAGACGAGACTGTGGCAGTGGGATGAAGAAAGAAGACATACTCAAGTTCTCCTTTGGAAACAGAATGAATAGGATCTGGTGAGGTCTTGACAAGGGGAACAGGCTCCCCCCTCACGCAGGCAGCATGCTGTATGAAGAAGACATAAAGAGGACAGGACTGGCGCCTGACTCAATCCTTGTGTCTGCTGTGTCCTCACTACATCCTTATGGAAACTGTTGGAGCTTTGTTGGCCCCGTGCCTGGTGGCTGGGATGCCTTAGGGACCCATGGACCAGCTTCCAAAGCTTTCAGTTACCTATTTACTATACTATCCAGTTGCTGGGATTCTAACAGTATCCTGGAACCATGTGGCCCAGCTGTGGGAAGCAGGAGGGAGCCCAGACAAGTACAAATTGTACTGTAGGAAGGGGAAACAATGTGGGCCTTAGGGAATAGGAACTGGGGCAGGGAGGCTTTGTCAAAGGTCATGTCAATTCTAGAGTAGGTCTGTGGCTAAAAAATAGAGATGCAGAAGTTGAAGAATCCAGGAGATGCCTAAGCATTTCCTAGGTTTCACCTAGCCTGGTTTTCAAATCTTTATAATCATTATGTCCTTTTATCCTAGCTACCATTTATGTACCCAGTGCCAAATGCTTAGTATAGGACTTCCCATGTATGAAATTAAAGGTGTTTTCTAATTTCCCTATGGCACAAGAGAAATCCAGTCTTTGACATGGATTTCTGGGGCTCAGCAGTACCTCGTGAGTCCTCAGAGCTTTCCACATGCTAGAATGGCTTGGCTTGCTCACTTCCAGGTAGATGTGGGAGAGGGTGGAGCTATTCTTGGCAGCCTCCTTGGGCTCAAAGAAGCAAAGAGCTTGTTGTAGGCATCTGCCCAGCTGTTTTCCTGCCTGTTTCCTTGCTCTCTCTAGAAGTGTTCCTTACTAGTCTCTGGCTGTCCACCATAAGGCCCTACCCTCTGTACTATGGAGGTGGGAGAAACCCAACTAGGGCAATTGGAGTGGCCCAACCCATGTCCCAGGTAACAGTTTCATTGATGGGCAAGGACTCAGGCAGGGTCAGACAGGGTTGCTCTGGGAATGGAGATGGCAGTGCTGGATGTGGTTGTGGAGAACTGTGGTTGTGCTTATTTGCTTGTTCTCAGGGTGATGCAACTCTCAAGCTGCTGGTGGCCATCTCTGAAAAGTACTTATCAGTAGATTTGAATCTTAGCTCCATGGTTTACTGACTGGGTGACTTTGGGCAAGTTGCTTAATCCTTTACTTTTACTTTCAACACATCTACAAAATGAGAATAATAAAGTATTTACCTCATGTTGGGGGAATAACTGAATTAATATTTGTACAGTGCTTAGAACAGTACCAGGCTAAAAGAGATCAGCCAACAAATATTTGTTGCTACAATTGTATTGCTATGTGGGGAGATCTCATCTGAGAATTTGCTTAGGTGATACTGGAGTTTGAACTCAGGGTCTTGTGATTACTAGGCAGGTGCTCTATTACTTGAACCACACCCCCATGCCTCCTATCTGAGAATTTGTAACAGAGACAGCTTTGACAGCATTATGGTTCCTGAATCCAGTTGTGCCTGAACCTTTCCATCTCATGCTTCCCAATTCCATAAATCAAATTTCTTCTTCTTCTTTTAAAATAGGGTTTTGCTATGTAGCTCAGGCTGGTCTTGAACTCTCAATCCTCTTGCCTTAGCCTCCAATTCTTAGCTATTAACTTCTTCTTGTCCTTTTTTATTTTCTTGGTGGAACCAGGGTTTGAACTTAGGGTCTCATACTTGCTAGGCAGGTGCTCTTACTGCTTCAGTCACTCTGCCAGCCTTTTTTTTCCTAAGGTATGTATTTTCTATTTTTTTTCATTTATTCATATGTGCATACAATGTTTGGGTCATTTTTCCCCCTCCCCCCTCCCTCTCTCCCCTACCCTCTCGCTTCCAGGCAGAAACTGTTTTGCCCTTATCTCTAATTTTGTTGAAGAGAGAGTATAAACAATAATAGGAAGGACAAAGGGTTTTTGCTAGTTGAGATAAGGATAGCTATACAGGGAGAGTCCTTGCATTGCTTTCATGTACATATGTGTTACATTTTAAGTTGATTCTTCTTGAACTGACCTTTTCTCTAGTTCCTGATCCCCTTCTCCTATTGGCCTCTGTCGCTTTAAAGTTTCTGCATTAGCTCCTTTGCATTGAGGACATCAAATACTATCATGTTTTTTGGGTTTCTTACCTATCCCCATACCTCCCTTCTGTGCTCTTGCCTTATCATGTGACCAAAGTCCAATCACCTTGCTGTATTTGCCCTTGACCTAAAGTCCACATATAAGGGAAAACATACGATTATTGGTCTTCTGAGCCTGGCTAACCTCACCTAGGATGATGTTCTCCAGTTCCATCCATTTACTTGTGAATGATAAGATTTCATTCTTCTTCATGACCAGCCCCTTTTTTTTTTTTTTAAGATAGGGTCTCATCAACTATTTCCCTGGGCTGGCTTTGAACCGTGATCCTCCTGATTTTTTTTTTTTTTTTTTTTTTTTTGTGATGGGCTTTTTCAAGATAGGGTCTTGTGAACTATTTGCTTGGGCTGGCTTCGAACTGTGATCCTCCTGATCTCTGCCTCCTGAGTAGCTAGGATTACAGGTGTAAGCCACTGGTGCCTGGATAGCCCTAAATTTTTTTAAAAAGCAAGTTTGAGTTGGTCTCTGTAAGTTATAAGCCCAAGGGTCCTAACACTGGAGTGTAGTGGGAAACATACAGGAGATAAGAATCCATAGGCACTTTCTCATTTTGCTGTTTGAGTTTGGGCAGGGTTCACTTCCTCATATGTTGCATGGGGATGCCAATGTCTGCTGTGCTACTCTCTTTTGGCTGCTGTAAAGACCTTTTTGTATAATGGATGTGCCTCAACAAGGAGCAATAAGTGGAGAAAAGCAAAACACTAATGATTTTTATACATAAAGAAAATAGTACTCCTTAGCTTGGTGTTTGCAGGGACTTGCCCCATGTGACCCCATTTCACCTTTCAGATCTTCTTTCTTACTCCTGCATGAGTGAGAAAGAGTGCTCCTTTTATTGAGGTTACTGGTTTATAGATTTCTTCAGTTAGACTTGAGGGCAGGGCCTACCTTATTTGTATCCTCCCTTGCACTTTACAGCAGGGATTTAGGGATGCAGGGATTCAGAAAATCACAGTTCAAATCAACATTGGCCTAAGGAGATGAGAACATAGGGATGTCCCAACAGGACAGAAGAAACAGAATTCTGTTTGCCTTGCTCAGCTCCCACCTGAGGCCTATTAACCTAATAATAAATCCAGCACAACTTAGTTACACTAAATCAATAAGCAGGAATCTCCAACATCTGGAAGAATGAAAAGGCTGCTGATGCCTGGGGAAACTCACCCAAACCAGCATTTGCTGGTATCACCCAGTCTCCTGGCTTCAACCCAGTCACACTGCTGCCTACTGCTACCACCTGTCCAACGCCTTCGTTCCCTCCAACAGCAGGCAGCTTGGGAAGGAGGCCGTAGTTTCCTGAGAGAGAGGAGCATAGAAGGTCATCCAGCCAGGCCTGGGCAGTGAGAGGGAACTGACTTTGGAGTCAGTAAGACCTGAGCCTGATTGAACTCTGCCTCTGACAAGCTGTCTATCTAACCAAACTCTGAGTCTCAGCTTCCTCATCTGTCTGGGGGAAAGTATTCTTAAGCATTCAAGGTTACCATGAGGATGAAGTAATGTAAGAAAGGAGGCCACCAAGTTCACAGGCTCTTCACAGGGGTTGGTTTATCTCCCACTGCAGTCTTCCCAACTCTTACAAAGCTGGGGTCTCGAGAAGGGAGGCCATAGAGGGATGACCCTGTGCAGATAGCTTCTCTGGTGAATAGTTACTGCTAATCACAGGAATTTCACACCCACCACACCTGAGGGGAACAGAAACGAGGTAGCAGCTGAGCGAAAAAGCCAGTTAACATAAGCTCCAGAAACCAAGGTTACCTTGGATCATATTTATGTCAGATGGATTGATAGGGCTGCCAGCATCCTCACACGGACATCTGATCCTCCCATGGCAGCCAGCGCCAGGTTCTTCAGTCTAAGCACAAAGCCAAAGAGAGACATTAATGTCAGCGAGGCCAGACTGGGCATCTTCGGCTCAAATCATCTTCCCAAAGTAGGTCAACATGTCTGCACTGCCATGTATGCCAGGAATTCAGCTCTGCTGGAAAGGAGAGTTGCTGTAAGGAGACACATGGGGCTTGGGCTGACTCAAACTGCACATGGACCATCCCTAGTGGCCTCTTGGTCCCAGTGCCCACTTGGAGACAGAAGCCAGTTAGGGAAAACCTCTGCGATCTGGCCCAGTGTTGGGTTTCCCAAAACTTGCTTGGCTGTAAGAATCATGTGGTGGACTTTCCAGCATGGATTCTCGGGCCCTAGCTCTGATGTACTGAACCAGCACCTCCAGATGAGGACACCCCAAGTAGTTCTTCCCAATAGGCACCTTGAGTTTCAAAGCCAGTGTAGGCAATCCCTGGGCCAGTGCTCTTGACCTTCACCTATTTGTTGTTTTGTTGGCCCTAACACACAGCAGGAAGAGGGATGCTGGCCTTAGTTGCAGAGAGTGAGGAAACAGAGAGATGGACTACAGATGTGGAAAGAACTCCCTGGTAACCGAAACTCAGCCCTGGAGTGATGTCCCTTCTGGGTAGGGATCCTGGTCTGTCCAAAAAGATGCTGGGTGGAGCTGGAGGTCTTAGGTACAAAGTCAGGATGTTGGGGCACCACAGGCAACTTATTCTCTGTGATAGGCTTCTGCTTCCCCATTTGTGGGATGGGGTGGGGTGTGGTGGAGATGGGGATTTGGGCTTGATTGCTTCCAACAGCCTCTCCCATTTTAAGTCTGCTAAGCCCTTTGCTTATGGTGGGCCCTCTAAATCATGGCACCAGTATCCTGATCCCACTGAAGCTTTGCCTAGTGGGTAAACCTACCAGAGGGATTCTGAGGGAGGCCAAGTGACAATGTCCATGTTACTTTTTATCATTAAAAAAAAAAAAGTTGTTTACCGGCGCTGGTGGCTCATGCCTGTAATTCTAGCTACTTGGGAGGCTGAGATTGGGAGGTTCATAGATCTAGGCCAGTGGAGATCCCATCTCCAAAATAACCAGAGTTAAATGTACCAGAGGTGTGGCCCAAGTGGTAGAGCCACCCACTTTGCAAGAGTGAAGCCCTGAGTTTAAGTCCTTGTTCCACCAAAGAAAAAAATTTAGCTGGGCATAGTGGCTCACCCCTGTAATTCAGCTACTTGGGAAGTTGGGAGGATTGAGATTCAAGGACAGCATAGACAAAAAATTAGTGAGATTCCATTTCAAACAATAAAAAGCTTGGCCTGGGGCTGGAAACATCATAGCTCAAGTGATAGAGTGCCTGCCCAGCAAGTGCAAGGCCCTGAGTTAAAATTCCAGCACCACCAAAACCAACCAAAAACCCTAAAAATTTGTTTTTCAAAAAAGAAACTTGCCAATCATACAATAAATACCAGTGTACTAGGCCAGTGAGTTGCTGTGACTTTTTAATGACCAGAGACTCCTTTTCTTTCTCCATATTCCAAGACTTCAGTTTTGCAATGCTTCTCTCTGACCAAATATATTTACTCAGTAATAAATTCCCTCATTTTTACTTACCAAAACTCTCAACCAGAGTTTCTTAGCATGAGGCCACAGTATGACTGCATTAAGCTGAGGTAATCCACCCACATCCTGTCGAAATCCTACCTTTTAATTACACATAAGGCTGGATCTTGGGGTAAAAGTATGATTTTTAAGAAATGTTTTATATTAGTAATAATGGAGGCAGGTACTTATGAGGCATTTCTTATATACCAGGTCCTGTGCAAAGGACTTTAAATACATGATCTAATTTAAGATGTAACCTTTCTGTGAGGAAGGTATTAATAGTCCCATGTAGCTAGTCGGGAACAAGGCTCCTTGAGATCCTGGAACATCCACAGGCTTAGGTGACTGAGTGGCAGGGTTCTCCAGCTCCACAGCTGGTGCTCTGATTTGCATTGCTTGGCATCAGCATCTTGACAGAGTCTGGGAGACCCCTGACTGCCTACAAGAACCCCGAGGATCTGGGGAGCCCACGCTGGGAATCCCTGTACTGTCAGGACCAAAATAAGAAAGGCCATATCTCACCATGACTAAGAAACAGCAGCAAGAAACAAAAATAGAAAACTACAGAAAGTGGTTAACTAGGGAGGAGTGGATGCTCGGGGCAGAAAGAATAAAAGGTAAGCAGTAAGGACTGATGTATTTACATACATCGCAAGAGGAGAGGAGTCCTCGTCATAGTAAGAACTGCATCCGTCAGGCACCCTGCCTTACATGGCAGCTTCCACAGGATTACGATCATACTCTTCTGCTTTTACACTGAGGAACAAAGGCACAGAAGAGGTAAATAACTAGCTCAAGGCCACACACAGTAGGAGGTCGCTGATCTGATTTGAACCTGGCAGTCTGATGTTTTCGAAGCCACCTGGTAAGGGGCCAACCCTAGACCAAGCAAAAGGGAGTGAAATGAGCCTTGGTCTGGACTGGCATGTGGGCTGACCTTTATTGCACCTGCCTGATGGGGAGAGGGTCAGCAGGCGCCACGGCCTCCCCAGTGGAGGCCTCAGTGACATTTCTCTGCAAACATGTCTATTAAGTCTGCCTCTTAAACAAAAAACCTGCCCAGAGCAAACAGATCTTGGAGTAGCTGCCCCTTTGTATCATCCCTACTGTTTCTCTCCTGCATTTTGACAGATAATCAGACTTTTTCTGTAAGCTGACAAAGTCCATGAGCTCCAGCTGCTTAAAACATTTTTTTTCCTGTACATTTCCTGCAAAACCTCCCTCAGCTAAGAATTTTGTTTTCACAGCTTCTCCATAAAGTGAGAAATTCAATTCATCCTTCAAGACCCAGCTTGAACTTTATTTCTCCTATGGCGGCTTTTGACATCTTGCTGGCCCTGAAAAACAATAACTGGCTCAGTGCTCCCCTTCCACAGCAGGGGTGGCTACACCATGAGTTTATTATTTTTTAGTTTACAAAGTCTTTCTGTACTTTTTTTTTTTTTAATTGATCAAGCCAAGACATAAGTTAATGATCCTACATCCAAAACTCTTGCAGGTGTGGGGGGGCAGATTTACTTCAGAGTTCAGACCATGTGTTATCTGCACCCCAGGGGGCTGGCAGCACCTTCATCAGAAGTTTCTGCAACAAAGAGAATGAATATTCACTGCTGAGTGAGATAAATAAAGACCTTGGTTTTGCCTCCCATGAGTTATGAAAAAGACTGCCAATTTTCAGAGCTTTCTGCATTCTGGAATAGCAAATAGGGATTTATTTGGATTCAGGTCCTTTAGATTCTGCATCCAGTGCCCTTCTTACTTACCACCTGATTTTGTGGTCAGAATATATGTGTGTATGTGTGTGCACGCCCACTGTCTTCCTGTTAAGGCTCTGAGCTCTCAGAGGGCAGAGAACCTTTAGTTTTACCTCAGGATGTAGCAAATGTTTGGCACCAAACTTTTCTCTCCAGTGGTATCAAAGTGCCAGTCACTTAGGGAAGCAGGGGAGGGGCTCCAATCACAGAGTCTCAGCTATTTGCACTTGTTCTCCCTGGTTCTAGCTGTTTAGAAAAACATCCCCAAAGGATGGGCTCAAATAAAAATGGAGATCATCCGTAAGAGTGTTTAGTCTAGGCATACAAATCAAATGTTCAATAAGACTGCACTTTTTAAAAATCTAGGTCACCATGGTGGAGATGAGAATGCAGGCTCGGGTTGAGAATGGCTTAAGTGCATGGGGGGAGTACAGCATGGACTTGGAAGAACACAGGTGGTCCTGAGTTTGCACAAGCAACTGGGTAAGCCTCAGACACCTCTGTGGGATGGGATACCTCTAGAACCAGCTCACTGGGTTAAAGAGCCAATGCATAAAGCATTGGCCACAGTCCCTGACACACAGGAGTGGCTGAAGAAATGACAGCTTCTACCAGTAGGAGGAACCTCCAAGGAAATCTTGGGGACCATTAGGGAACTGTACCTCTGAAAAGCACCACTGAGAACTGAAAGGAAATTTTGTAAGATTTAAATAAATTAATTCAGCAAGAGTTTATTGACAGTCCCAGTGCCAGGCACTGGGCCAAGGGATCTAAAGATGGATACTTTAAAATCACCTGCCCAGGAACTTGATGGTATGGGAACCCACAAGTCAAAATGCCAGAGTTCTTTCTGATGGTGTTTCAGCCCACTGAGCATCAAACCTGGCCAAGGAAGAAAGGTTCTTTTAAAGAAGTGATACCTTAGTTGAGGCTTGAAGGATATAGAGGAGTTTATTCAGTAGGCCAGCAACAAGTGTGGTCTGGATTGGAGCCGTGGGCATGGAAAGGACTCAATAACCTGGAATCTTTTTTTTTTGGTGGCATTGGGGTTGAACTCAGGGCCTTGTGCTTGTTAGGCAGGTGGTCTATCAGTTGAGCCATACTGCCAGCCGTTTTTGCTTTGGTTATTTTTGAGACAGGGTCTCACTTTATGTCAGGCAGGCCTGGACCATGATCCTGTTTGTGCTTCCCTGTGTAGCTGAGTGATAGGTGCATGCCACCACAACTCAGCCATTGGTTGAGATGGGGTCTCGCAAACTTTTTGCTTAAGCTGACCTCGAACATTGATCCTCTCAATCTCTGACTCCTGAGTAGCTAAGATTACAGGCATGAGCAATTCGTCTGGCCTGGAATCTTTTTAAAAAAATTTTTTGAATGTAGCCCAAAGTGGCCTTGAACTTGCAATCCACATGCCTCAGCCTCCCAAGTGCTGGGATGACAGGAGTGTACCACGATGGCCAGCCTTGGAATTTCTTAAATATATGACATTAATGTCACCTGGTGACCAACCCTATGTGGGGGGAGGTAGCAAAAAATCTTTGATGACTCCCAGACTTCTGGCTGAGACTCCTGAATGTGAAGATAGAGAGGAAGTGTAGATTTGGAGTGGGCACGAAGGTGTTTTGTTTGAAGTATGAGGCAGGCAACATACAAGATGGATAGCAGA